TTTTTTTTTTAGCACCCTTTGGCCTAATACCCATTCTTTTTTTTATTCCTTCATACATTTCTTTATTGTGTTGCATTTGCTTTTATCCAAGTTAGATTAGGTAATACAAATATTCATCAGCATTTGCAACAATTTCTGCCCCAAGTTAATAGAGTTAGAGAGTAGTAATTCTGCTCTTATTGAATTGAATACCTTATTTCATTAAACATAGAGAAGAGTGTAGATAATTCTAATTTGTAAGTGACTCTAATAGTTAATATTGTCATTATTTTTAGAGGATTTAATATATTTTAGCTTGTGTGAATGTGTGTGTGATAATATGAATGTTGCTTGCATTATAACCCCAAATAGTAAATGAAGCAGAAAAATAAATTCTTATCCAGGCCCCTCTCCTTTTTAGAGGTGTGTGAGTGGATGACTTGGGTCTTATAGTCCTTATTTGTAGAAGGGGTAATTGAAATTTTAAAGCACTGTACACCTGAATTAGTTTATGTCTCCTTTATTTTTTCCATTGTGCATTGCCATATTAACAGAGAAATAGGTTGTCACTGAGAATGAATAACACTATTCGTTTAAAGTGAAAGCTCAGTATCAGCTCATATAAAATAAAGAAAATGTCTGCCTGATTTCTGGTCTTTGAGGTTATTCTTGTAGAATCTATTGAAGTGATGTTTTTCATCTAAATATTTGGGTTAAGTATGTTTTATATAATTATTTCTATTTTAGTTGATATGAATATGAGATCCAAAGAAATTCAATTTTTGAACTATTTTTTGGTGGGGAGAGAGGGAGGGAGGGAGAGAGAGAGAGAGAGAGAGAGAGAGAGAGAGAGAGAGAGAGAGAGAGAGAGAGAGAGAAGTGTTGTAATAATACAACCAAATAAATAGGAGGTAGGTATTCACAAGGCAAGAGGAGATATTCTGGCTGCTTCTAGCTTTGTATTTACATTTACCTATTGCAAGTAAAGTAGAAATGTATCCAAATAGGTCTACATCTTGCTACCTTCTTTCCTGTTGGTATTTACCACATTCATCAGAATTTAGTGCCCATATAATTTATCCAAAGTGCTTTTGTTAAATATGCCACGTGTTCTTTCACTCCCCCACTTCCGTCATTGATTTAGTAGATCTGGGTGATATTCTGAAATGTGGGTCACATTTTACTTGAAAACACTTGGCATTCTGTCTCCTGATAGGTAATTTTTATTAGGTAACTCATTCTGAAAATGGACAAAAAAAAGTTATTTTCTAGCTTTCCATGACTGATATAATGCACACAATACTTTTTGCAAAGTTTCATATGCTATACATGCCAAGAGGTGCTTGGAGGGGAATATTTAGCCTCCCAGTGTTAACCTGGCTTCAAGACCTGTTCTATAACACCATCCTTCCCAACAACCAGGTTGTTGCCTGTCATCCTGTTTGTATGAAATTCTTCAGCAGCCTCTGCAACTGACTCTTCTGCACTCGCTTTTTAAATTTATTTCATCAGGCTTTTATAAATACATAGCCAGTAAATGAGAAACACAGGTGGGTTTTTAAAAATAAAGAAATGACTAGTCATTGGTAGACTTTCTATGTATTTTAATTATAGCTAAAATATCTTGCACTGCTTGAAAATCTATTAGATGTATAATTAGAGCTTATTTATTTAATAAGAAATTAAGGTGATGTGTGGTTCAGTTAGTTAGAGCATACAGTCTGAATGGCAAGGTTGCCTGCTCGATCCCTGCATGGGCCACTTAGAGCTATGCCCTCTTTAGGAAAAAAAAGAAAACAGAAAAAAGAAAGAAAATAAACAACTTTAAAACAGTAAAAATTAAACGATAAAAAGTGTTGATGTTGGAAGCAGATGACCAGGCTCCATAGTGTGAACTAGCCTCGTATTCAGATAATCTAGATTCTAATGCCACTTTCTTCAAGTTTCTTTGTAACTTGTAAAGTTCAGTATTCCCAATCAAATACCTACCATTAAATTGTATAAACTTGAATGGATTCATCAGAACTTTAACTAGCTGTTTAATGCCAAGAACCAGCCACAAACAAGATCACTTTAATGAATTAATACTCATGCATATTTTGGTCATATTTAAACCACTAGCACTCATTTAGACATGCCTAGGAAAATTTCCTATATGCATGTAACATATAAACTATGTAGAGTGTATTATCTATGAGGAATAAAAATGAAGTTATGAGTTACTCCTTACTTAGGCTTTGAATAAACAAAATTGATTCTTTTTTCACTGTAAGAAATTGTACCCAGTTATATGAAGTGTATGAGTCCATATGTTACGAGATTCAAGTCTGTTACCACTTGCTGCCCGGAGCCCCAAAACTCAAGTGACAAGTGTCAGTGAGGAAAAAAGCATCTTTTATTCTAGATGCCAGGGAAGATGGCAAACTAATATCCAGAAAAAACACCTTCCCTGAACTGAGGGTACTCAAAAGGTTTTATAGTCAGTCAGGTAGGTGGGGGAAAGAAAAAAAAATTGGGTATCGGTCATGTAAGTTTCAGGGGTGACAGTTGAGAAATTGCCTCCCGGGGCCTGGCCTGAGAAATTGCCTCCTGGGGCCTGGTTCTGCTTCATAAAGTTATCTCAACTGTCTGGAGTGTTTTATGTATCATCAGCAAAAACTGCAAGGGAGTTACAGTGATGGATCCCAGTGTCCAGGAGCCTGAGAATTAAAAAGTTGTTCTTTCCAGGTTAGTGCTCTGCTGATTAATTAGATCAACAAGATATATAGTCTTAAAAAAGGGAACAAAGCAGAGTCATTAAATCAAGCAGTGAAGGGGAAAAACAAAGAGAAAACAACTGAATAGCAAGCTATGAGGTGAATCAAACTATAGGCTAAGTTATTGATTTCTTAACTGTCTCCCCTACACATACACTGGCCAGGCCACTATGATACACAATCTTAGGCCAGTGGGTCAGCCAGCAGACCTGGAAACTTTGATGTGCATCCTTTTTTTGCCCCAGCCTTAGTCACCTTTCATGTCAGCCTTCTCATCTCTGAGTGGTAAAGCTACAAATCCTGCCTATCTCACAGATGTTATTATGCAAATAAAATGATACATGTGAAAATGCTTTGCTAAGTGTGTGTGGAAATATTTTGCTGTGATCTTATCACTTTTACCAGGAAGACACTCTGAGCCAATGTTTTCATGTAGGCATCTCTGTAATTAAGGAAAACAATACTCCAAAAATAATGATTTTTAAAATTGAAATTAAAATTAATGAGTGAATTTTCTGTTATTTAGGATAATAATGCTAGTCTCTTATTGAGTAAGTAGAATGTTATGGTTTCTTTTGTCATTGAATAGAACAATATCCATTCTACTTTGTAATAGGCTATATCTTGGAGTTATAAGATGGTCTTGATTATACCCGTCTTCATTACAGGGTTGGCCTTTGCTATTCTCTCATCTGTGCACCCAGTGTTCGGTTTATATGGCTCTCTATTTCCTGTCATCATTTACGCCATATTTGGAATGGGACGTCATGTTGCCACAGGTAGTAATTTCTGTTTCTGTTTATGCTTCTCATGTTACTAATGAAAGGGACCTTAGAATGATTGTTAGGTTGATTACATTTCTAATTTTACTACTGAAAATTGCAGCAGATATTAGGGGAAAACATTTAACTGTCTCTGCCTTAGATACTCAATACATATTGTGATTTATTGCTATATTACTATGTAATCAGGTTATTGTTAAAGACTGCATTTTTTTAGTTGTAAAACGACCATATAAGGACAAATGTTCTAAATTTACAATGAAATGGAGAAAAGTAAGCAGTTTGAGGGGTAAAGAAAGACTATAAAATTTATTTACATAAATATTGAAGAATATTTTCCACATAGCTGATATTTAGACTAAATGATCTTTTAGGTTTCTTTGAAGCTAGATTTTATAATGTTCTTTAATTAATATGTCACTCACCTTGCTTAGCTCTCCTTTATCCAATATAATGTGAACTGTTACAAGTACAGTAGTCTGATAACAGAGCAGGATAGTTAAAAGGGTTTTGAAGTTAGTTCTGGATATATCTCTCACTTGTTTCTTATCTGCATAAACTTGGGCAACGTTTTAAAGCTCTATTTGTTGCTTTCTTAATATTAAAATGCAAAAAAAATTCATAAGATTGTAGTGAAAATTAGATGAGATGATTGATGTAGAGTGTCTGATTTAGTACTTGCTACACAATAAGATTTAATAAAAGCTGTTATTACTACAAAAGAGATGCCTTAATATTAAATATCAAGGTAATAATAATAATAAAAATACTGTGACTGGCAATATCCATGGAAGCATTTCTATTTATTTTGTAAGGTCTCTCTCTGCCTTTAAGAAAGTAATACCATTTGTGTCTATTCAGTGGTCAATCTGTGTTATTGATTGTGTTTGTTTCCTTTTTCTGGTGTAACAAATTATCATGAACTTAGTGGCTTAAAGCAAGATAAATAATTATTATTTACCAGTTTCAGTGGTCAGAAGTCTGAAATGAGTTTTACTGTAGCATTACATATTCACAGGGCTGAGTTTCTTCTCGACTTTTTCCAGCTTCTGGAGGCTGACTCCATTTCTTGGCTCATGGCACCTTCCGCCATCTTCAAAATCAGCAGAGTAACATCTTCAAATTTTTCTCTAATTCTGATCTTTTGTTCCATCTCCCATATTTAAAGGACCCTTATATTACATTGGAAACAGATAATCCAGAATAAACTTCTAATTTTTTAAGTTAAATTTATTTAGGTGACATTGGTTAAACCTCTTATTTTAAGGTCAATTGATTAACAATCTTAATTCCATCTGCAATGTTAATTCACACTTGCCATGTAGTATAACATATTCACAGGATCTGGGGATTAGGACATAAATACACTTGAAAGGCTGTAATTCTGTCTACCACATTGATACATACACTTTCTCATACAGAAATTAACCTATAAAATAACATTTTCTTTATATAAACCTTACTTTTATTGATATAAAAAGTTGATATATGACTGTTTCATAGGAAATAGGATCAACAGTGATGAGTCATTTCCAACACTAGTACCTAAAATATGGTCAATGAACCAGTAGGATCAGCATTATGTGGTGTAAGGGCCTGTCCTCAGGGATACTGTTGCTAGAACCAAATTAGATGAATAAGGTTCCAGGAAACTATTTAGGAACCCCTTTGTCCCTGGGACCAGACAAGGGGTTTCCTATCCCCATTACGGAAAGTTTCTGTTCAGGGACTGTTTCAGGGAGGGAGTCATGTTCTGGCCAAGCAACACCTGCAACGGATGCGGTCAGGTGCCAACAATGACTGCTTGTTTTGCAGTGGCGGTTTGTTCTCGCTTCTGTAAACCTGTTTGCAATAACGGTTTATTCTTGCTTCTGTAAACCTGCTTCTGCTTAAGCTAACGCATATATAAACTCTCACTGGCCAAGGCCCGGGGTCGTTCTCCTCTTGCAGAGTGGCTCAATAAAACCTTCAGAACGAAATCTCTGTCTCTTAGGTCTTTATTAACGAGCAAGGACCGAATAGTGGGAGCTTGGTAGAATGCAAAATCTTGGTTCCCACTTCAGACCTACTGAATCAGAATCAGCACTTTCAGTATTACATCACAGAAGTGTGATGAGTTCCTCTTGAAATCTCCCGTGGAATTTACAACAAATTGAACAACTGCAATTTCACAAAGGACTCCCTGCATGACATACAGGCAAGACTGAGAGATGCTCAATTAGAATTGTCTAAAGGTGGGCAAATATGGTGAGTGGTGGAGGGGGGAAGGGGGCAGTACAGAGACATGGGCTGCGGGTCAAGGGTCTCCTGACTCAGACCAGAGTTTGGAGCTCCCTGCTGTCTGGAGCTACTGCAGTCACAGGAGAGGGAAGCACTTTTCTACAGCCCACAGTCTCAACTGAGGGATAAGCGTATAAAATGGCTGAACCCAATGCTCATGGCAGAGACCTTGGAGCAAAGACTGAGGGAAGAAGGGTGACAATGGTGGTTTAAGCCCTCACTGCCAAGCAGAAGACGAACGACATAGGCATAGAGCCTGGCTGACCCCCTCCCACTCCTCCCAGTGCTTGCCCCACCCCCACCCTCCCAGGGCTAGAAGTGAACTGGTAGCAGTGTCAGATAAAAAAAAAACAGAATACTTACACCTCTGAGTACTGCAGCCCTGCAGCCACATACTCACAGCACAACTAATTCCAGTGAAAGGGTAGGAACTGTAAGAGCAAAATAACTGTGCAGGTCACAGCCACCTGTCACAACTCACCCCATCCCCACCTATCTGGGCAGATCCCTACAGAAATAAACACAGCCCCTAAAACACAGGCTCTGAATCTAGTTGCAGGAAGACCTTAGGGCAGAGGCAGTGCCCTGAGACCCAAGCTACATGCTCACAGAGGAGAAGTCCACCTTCCAAGAAATCCTCCTCCTTCCCATCATGTGAGAAGCCTGAACAGTGTAAGTGAAAATATAATGCTACAGCATGAAAGAGAATAAAAGGCTGCAGTGAAAGAGAAAATAAAACATTCTATCATCACCCACTGGAAAAAAAAGAAATACCTTTTCATATCAACCTTTTGCAGAACCCACTTCTGTAGATGCCTAGGAAGTGAAATCATAATTCGTTAATTGCTATGAATAACCAAGGTAACAAGGCAGCTCAGAAAGAAAATGAAAAGTCTCCAGAAAATGAACTTAAAAACATGGAAATATGTGACTTAAATGACAAAGAATTCAAGATTGCAGTTCTGAAAAATCTCAAGAAGATGCAAGAAAACACAGACAGGCAATTCAGTGAACTCAGAAACATAATTAAAGAAAAAAAGGACCATTTTAACCAAAGAGTTTGAAATCTTAAAAAAGAATCAAATAGAATTTCTAGAGATTAAGATGTCAACAAAAGAAATGAAGAATGAAATACCCAGCTTAAGCAATAGAGTGGACCAGATGGAGGAAAGAAGCAGTGACATCAAAGATGGAAATCTGGAAATGACACAGATGAAAGAAGAGAGAGACTTGAGAGAGAAAAGAAATTAAAGAATTCTACAAGAACTATCTGTCTCCATCAGAAAGACCAACATAAGAATAATGGGCATACTAGAGGGAGAAGGGAACAGAGAGTATATACAAACAAATAATCAATGAGAACTTCCCAAACTTGTGGAAAGAACTGGATCCTCATTTCCAAGAAGCAAATAGAACACCTAATTACTTCAATTCTAATAGGCCTTCTCCAAGGTACATTGTAATGAAACTGTCAAAAATTAACAACAAAAAAAGAATCCTCAAAGCTGCCAGGGAAAAAAAGACAGTAAACTCCAAAGGAAAGCCCATTAGATTATCATCAGATTTTTCAACAGAAACTCTACAAGCCAAGAGAGAGTGGAATCAAATATTCAAACTATTGAATAATATATCCAGCAAAGATATCCTTTAGATATGAAGGAGGAATAAAGACCTTTCCAGATATACAGAAGCTGAGGAAATTTTCTAACATGTGACCTGCATTACAAGAAATACTGAAGGAGTATATTTGACCTGAAATGAAAAAGCAAAAGAATACAAAATTATGAGTAGTAGTATGAACAGACAGACAGAAGCAGAAAATGGCAATTTCTACACCAAATAGGACACTATATACTTAAACATACATACAGGGTAAAGAAGAAAAAGACATTAAAAAAAAGAAGAAGAAAAAGACAAATTGCTACTGCAATGCAGAAATCAACTCAAAACATAAATAGTGATAATTTGTGACAACAAAAACATAAGAGGGGAGAGAATAAAGGTCTTAAGTCGCAAAGGGGAATGGAGAAAGAAAGCATGCTGAAGAAAATGGAATACCTTAAATATGAACCTCTCTTTTACATTAACTTAATGGTAACCACTCAAAAAAAATCCAGAACTGAAATATATAACATTAAAAAAAAGTAACAAAGGGAAAACTCATACCACCACACTGAAATATCAGACAGTGATAAAAAAGCAAAGAAACAATGGAGTCAACGAGCCACCAAAAAACCAAAGATAGAATGAGAGGAAATCCTCATATGTCAAAAATCACCTAAGTGTAAATGGGCTAAACTCACCAAAAAAAGACACAGAGTAGCAAATAGGATCAAAAAATGAAACCCAATCATATGCTGCCTTCAAGAGTCACATCTCAGCTACAAGGACAAATATAGATTCAAAGTGAAAGGGTAGAAATTGACACTCCAGACAAATGGAATTCAGAGAAAAGCAGGTGTAATCATACTAATATTAGATGAAACAGACTTCAGGATAAAAACGGTAACAAAAGACAAAGATGACATTTCATAATGATAAAGGGAACTATACAACAAGAAGACATAACAGTTATCAACATTTATGCCTCCAATCAGGGAGCATTGAAGTATAGAAAGCAATTACTAACAGAACTAAGCGGAGAAATTGACCAAAACACAATTATAGTAGGGGACCTAAATACATCATTGAGAACTATGGATTGAATATCCAAACAG